TTATGATTGAATCGAGTTCTCAGACTAACTCAATGCAAATGTTTCATGGTTAAAGGTGGTCAAGGTGCATTTCTTTTCAATTAGAGTTTTGTGCAGTCTTAATACAATTTGGTATTGCTTATTGGGTTCAAGATCTAGTTTATCAGTATAAGGGGCGAAATTCAAAACTGATTTGAGATTGAGTCATGGTTACTCGAGACTTTGGTCGTGATCAAGCGTTTTTTCAAGTTTATTTTTAGAACCTAAATCATGAGGTTTCTTTCAAGGGCATTCAAGGCAAGTTTAAGAGATTTCATTTTTCAAGAATGGCCATATTCAAGTTCAAAATCATTAGTTCATTTTAAGGCCCAAAAGTTCGACAAAAGAAATTTAATATTGATTCAATTGGCAAGGCTCGTCCAAGAGGAAGTGAGTCCATTATACATTATCATAAATATTGTCAAAATTACAAAATCCATTTACATAATCCAAATGACCATTATTATTTAAAAAAACAAAAAAAGACCCATTTACAAGGCAAGATCTCATTGCCACGCCAAAATTGCAAATAAAAAAAGAGGTACATATGCAAGTCTCAAATAACTGAGCTAAGTTGCAGCCAAACATCATGTGCACATCACACGTAGCTCGAACCATTTCCTTTTGTTCCTAACATCACCTGCAAAAACCAAATTCTTCTTTCAATGTGAGACTGCACGCGAGCTGCAAAAGAAGAAGCAAAAAAGAAACATCATAATTGTCATAAAAAACTCGCGCAAAACTTCCTAAAACTGTATCTTGCAAAATCATGAATTACCAAAACGAAGCCGTCTGCACCCCACCACCTTCAGTCCAAGTCTCGACCTTCAAGTTTTCGCACTACAAAATAACAGATTTTTTTTTACCACAAAACCTCCCTACAACTTCACTAACTGTCCCCTCAATTTTCTTTCCACAGTAACCTGCGCAAACCAACAAAAACAACAGCAAAGTACAACAGAAAAGATAACATGGTTTTGGCAAAAAAAACACATTCTGAACAGGGAAAGGCAAATACAAACATACCACAAAAAAAAAACTCCAGCAAAATTCATCAAGAAAACCCTAATCCCTGAGATATAACAGGGGAGTTCATCAGTTCATGAGAGGGGGGAGAATTCTGCGAAAATTGTTTTAGTACCTTTCTTCAAAACTCCAACCTCAAATTCTTTGTAGACAAAACGACACCCTCCCCAAGAATAGCTCATCAATACCCTATCAAAGTTACCAGAACAGGGTGGGGTTGAGAAAAACCAACAAACTTCTGTCGAAGTCACTCCTCAAATCTTCCGTATTCATCTTCCGCTACCATTTTTTTCCCTGGGCTGGCATCTTCAATCTGTGATTCCTACGTAACGCCAACAACCCAATCGAGACGAGATCTGTAAATCCCCAAACAAATAAAAAAAAAATCAGAAGTTAAACCCAAAATCAAACCAACAATAAGAGATTGAGAGAAGCGAAGGTGGAGATAGAAACTTCCTTCTTCCATTTTTTTTTTGAAATGATCGGAACTGTTTTCCATCGTTCTTGCTGGGTAGTTTATTTTTTCGTTTTACGTTTCGTTTTTCTCTAATAGAGGAAAAAGGTGTTTTAAAACAATGAGAAAACTGATGATTGTTGGTTACTGTATCGTCTAGGAGGTATTTATTTATTTATTTATTTGTGGATTTATTCATTTATGTTTATTGTTTTACTTTAATGGGCTATGGTGGCAACGATGGGCCTTAAAGTAAAATAATATACCGGAAGACTTCAGAAAAGACTTCAGGTAGTGTAATTTGTGTGGTGCTCACCGGAAGTCTTCATCAAAGAGTTCCGGTAGTGTAATTTGTGTGGTGCATACCGGAACTCTTTGATGAAGTCTTCCGGTACGTGTTTCCAAAATTTTTTTAATTTTAATTTTATTTTTAATTTTTTTATTTTTAATTTTTTTATTTTTAATTTTTTTAAATTTTTTGTTTTTATTTTTTATTTTTTTAATTATTTTTATTTTGAATTTTTTTTTGAATTTTTTTTATGTAATTTCAGAAATTCCTTTACAAATATGTGATAAAGATCAGATATGCGTAGATACGTCTGATGTTTTTTCAATAACTCAAAGATTTGGTACACGAGAAGAGGTAATAAGATGGATTAAAGAGATCGGAATTCGAAATAAAGTTACGGTTATCATCACTCGTTCAGATATTAAAACAGGCCAGAGAGGAAGAAGTAACAAATTAATATTTGGATGTGATAAAGGAGGAAAACACATAGATATTGATAGTGGAACCCAGAGTGCGACGTAAAATGTGGATGTCCATTTAGAATCAGATCAATTCCAGCGACTGATGGATCTGGATGGAAGATTGATGTAAAATGTGGAGTTCATAACCATGGTTTACCTGATAGATTAGAAGGTCACGCATTTGTCGGTAGGTTGACAGCGGATCAGAAGCAACATGTTGTTGATTTGACAAAGAGAAAGGTTCCACCTAGACATATAGTGCTTTCATTGCAAGAGCAAGATCCAAATAATGTCACTCAGATCACGCAAATATACAAACAGAAGAGTATGATAGAAAAAAATATAAGAGGTCCTAGAAGTGAGATTCAACATTTGTTTAAGCTCATTGAGGAAGCAGGTTATGTTTATTGGAGTAGAAAAAGAGATGACTCTGAAGTAATTAGAGATATCTTTTGGGCTCATCCAGATTCAGTTAAATTGTTGAATATTTTCCTATTGTGCTAGTTATGGACAACACATACAAGACAAACAAATATAGGCAACCTCTGTTTGAAATTGTTGGCATGACATCAACCAAGTTGACTTTTGCTATCGCATTTGCCTATATTGAGTCTGAGCAAACTGAGACTTTTTGTTGGGTGCTAGATAAGCTTAAACAATTGTTTGTGAAGAAACAGTTGTGTCCACAAGTGATTTTGACAGATAGAGATCTTGCTTTGATGAAAGCCATTGAAATTGTGTTTCCAAGGTCGATCAATATGCTATGTCGATTTCATATTAACAAGAATGTTGGTGCAAAACGGAAACAATATGTGGCTAGTGAAATGCAAAAGAAAATTGACGATTTATGGACGGATGTTGTATGGGCTAGTGATGAGGTTGAGTATGATCAAAGGTTGAACCAACTTGAGCAGGCGTGTGTTGATTGTAATAAATTTATTGATTATGTGAAGGACACATGGTTGACACCACATAGACAAATATTTGTTGGAGCATGGATTGATCGAGTGCTACATTTGGGTAACACCACGACTAATTGGTATGTATTTATTTTTAGTATTTATAAATTGTATTTTATTTTGAATTTTTTAAAAATATTTTTAATCTGTATTAATTTTAGGGTTGAGTCTGCTCATTGGAAGTTAAAGCAAATGTTGGGGAACACTATTGGTGACATGGTCAAATGTTGGGAGGCTATGAATGACAACTTAAAGTTACAATTGGGTAATATTAGAGCTTCTTTTCAAAAGAGTTTTTATGAAGTTGAGCATGCCCACGTAAGTCCATTTTACAATAATTTACGTGGTTCAGTATCTTGAGATGCATTGAGACGCATTGCTGAAGAGTTAAAACGAGTTGATTATGTTGGAACTAACAAGGAAATATGTCGTTGTACTCATAGAACAACCTACGGATTACCTTGTGCTTGTGAGTTGACAGGATATAGAATTGATGGTATACCGATACCAATAGATGCTGTACATGTTCATTGGAGAAAACTAAGTATGGAAGTTAAGTTGGATGAAGACGTAGATGATGGATCAGAGGTGGATATGAGTAGTGCAATAGATGAGTTATGGAAAAGGTTTAAGTTACTGGATGTTGTTGGGAAAAGGGCATTAAAAAGTAGGGTGTTTGGACTTGCCTTCCCTACAATGACTTCTATGTGTCCACCACCTGAGAAAATAAAAACTAAAGGGGGAGTCAAGAAGAAAGACAAAAAACCAGTAGGATATGATGTTTATAGAGACCCTTCTTATCACGAGTATGTTGATCAAGCATCTCAATCTTCACAGATGCAATCGCAACCATCACAAACTTCGAAGAAGTTGAAATTATCACAGTCTTCACAAAAGAAATCTCAACCATCACAAGCTTCAAAGAGGTTGAAATTATCACAGTCATCTAAGCAGTTCATCCTTCAGTTTCCTAATCACATTCGGTCATATATTGATGATGTAGTTAATGTTGTATCAGATGGTAATTGTGGATTTAGAGTCATTGCTTCATTGCATGGATTGGGTGAAGATGGTTGCTCAATGATTCGTCGAGTCTTGGGGTTAGAAATAATACATAATGAAAGATCAAGTTTGTATGCCAATTTATTTACTGATCAGTTAGCAATGGTGAGAGAATCTTTGATGATAGAGGAAGTCGGTTCTCAACCACCACATAAATGGTTAACTCTACCAGATATGGGTTACATGATAGCGAATCGTTATAATGTTGTACTTGTCTGTTTAGGAATTGAATGCTGGATTTTCTTCCCTATGACAACTTCATTTTCACCGAATGCAGCAATTTACTGCATTGGTTTTGTAAATGGAAATCATTGGATTCAGGTACTTAGTTGTTTTTTTGATAATGCGATTAACCCTAAGTATTTTTCTTTATTTTTTACTTACTATTTTGATTATTTTTTTATTTAGGTGAACATGAAAGAAGGGTTTCCATTGCCACCGATGACAGTAGATTGGAAGAATTTTCGTTCTCCAGCAGCAACATCTTGGATGCTAGGATTTGCACCACGTCTACAACATTGGCAACAAGTTACGCCTATATTACCAACACATTATACATTATAAATTATGTTACTCATTTTTAATTTCAAAACATGAATAATGAATTTTGTTACTCATTTTTAATTTCAAAACTTATAATATGTAAAGCCTCGAACAAATCCGCAAACTGTGGGTCAAATGAGTCTAAAAGTTAACATATAATCATAAATACAAAATATAAGTCACTGTGATCAAGCAATATGTAAAGCCTCGAACAAATCCGCAAACTGTGGGTCATCATCTTCAGCACCAGCCTGCTGAAGATAACGATGAATCAACGAAGACACACGAGCCCAACTAGGATTAGATGGTCCTGCTTCATATACTGGAACTGGCATCTCTGCTGGCATCTCTGCTGGTGCATCATGATAGGGTGTGGGTACCAAACGAGGATGAGAGACACGATAATACCACTCAAGATATCCATCATCTGTCTCGTATGGGGTGGTGGCTGGTGCTGTCGGACGAATCACATTCTGGACGCTCTGATGGTAACTAATCCAGTCAACATCAATATCACTAGCCATCCTGTGATCAATAGGTGGATGTGGAACATATTGCCTGTATCCAAACTGACGCATACATCTGTCAGGAAAGTATGGAACAATAGTGTCACCCCACCTCAGACACCCCATATATAGACATAACTCATCGAACTGACGCCATACTCTATGATTCTCGAATGGGCGCCATATGACATCAGCAGGTGTCAGCTCGTCCAGAATAGGTCGCAACTCATCCACCTTCAAGGCACCTTGCCTATATGACCATCTCATCGCTCGAGGGAGACCCACATTATGAGCTGGTATCCAGTTCTCTCCTTTTTTCCCAAGTGTTCGAAAATACTCATGAATCCAGCACTGTCACAAAATTAATATGGTTATTAACATTAAAATAATTAATTATAACATAATAAAATTTATTAAAACAAAATATACTAAATTAAAATAAATACCTGTAAGAGAGTCGGATAACCACCAAGCTGCTTATAGCTGAACATGGAAGCATCTCCGAGATATCTGTAAAGAGTAACCAACGCAGCTGCTCCCCAACTGTATCCAGATAAGCCATCCAAGTCTATAAGCAGTGAGATGTATTGTGCCTCGACAAGCGTAAACGTCTTGTCCGCGAAAATAGTGGAACCAACCAACATCAGCAAATAAGCTCTAGTGGCATAATGCCATCTAGATGCAGCTCTATGCTCAACGAACATATCATATAACCACTCCAGCTTGTAGTAGGAACCCCTGCATTCACGGACTTGTTGTTGTGCTACTCTCTGTGACACTCCTAAATAATCAACAGCCCACTCAACAATAAGGGCTTCACTGATATCTTCAGGGCTCCAGAAAACTCCCCTGATGGGCAAGTGAAGCAGGCAAGATACGTCATCTAGAGTAATCGTCATCTCACCAAACGGCATGTGAAATGATGATGTCTCTAGATGCCACCTCTCTGCAAAAGCGGAAACTAGGTTTGTGTCTATCTTTGATAAACTGGTTCTCTATAGTAAAGCTAAACCAGACCTAGATATCCATCTCTCTAGGTAGCTGTAGTGGAACCCTCTGAGCCAACTTCAACCCATGTCCAGCCACCTTTAACTCTTTCTTCGACCCTCTCTCCTGAAAAAAATTAAAAGTAAATATATTATAAAATTCAATATTAAAAATTCGAAATTCTAGTCAATATTAAATAATTTTCGTTTACTTACCTGACCGAACCATATATGGTATGCAACATGCTGTTCGTACTTAACTAACAGAGACGTATCATATGGTCCTCCTGGATATCCAACTGGTTCGGATGCTGATGCAGATGCATCAAAATGCTCTTCTTCAGCCATCCTAGAGGACTCGCCCCGTCCTAGTCCGCGAGGGATCCTACCATCTCTGCCTCGTGTGCGCACCACTGAAAAAAAAATCAATATAATTAAAAAAAAAAAATAAAAATAAATATATATGATTAAAAAATAAAAATTAAAACCATAATAATAAATAAATATAATTAAAATTTAAAAAAAGTAAATTAATAAATAAATTAAAAATAAAAATAAATAAATAAATTAAAAATTAAAATAAATAAATAAATAAATAAATTAAAAAAAAAACAAAAAAATAACAATGAACCGGAAGACATGAAGAAAGTCTTCCGGTGAAGAAATGACGAAAATTGTGTTCCGGAAGACTTAATCGAAGTCTTCCGATGAAGAAATCCAAGAACTTGTGTACCGGAAGACATACATTAAGTCTTCCGGTGAAGGAACCAAAAAAACAAACGAACCGGAACACTTAGTTGAAGAGTTTCGGTTTGGCTTGAGCGAAAAATGACTTCCGGAAGACTTTAAGGAAGAGTTCCGGTTTGAGAGATAAAATTGTGTGTTCCGGAAGTCTTTCAATACAAATGAAGTGAAAATGAGAAATGTTTTTTAAAATTATACTATTTAAGGAAGGGCATTTTGGTCCAATATTTTTTAGTGTAGGGGTGTGGGGATAGATGTAGGGGTATGGGGTAAAATTTCCCCTCCGAAATTAATATCAGTCAAATTATTGATAGATAGTAATGAGTCCGAGACCACTTTACTTTTTTCACTTCTCATTCTCTTTATTATTCTCGATTTTATTTTATTTTATCGATTAGTGAAGTCTTTACATTCGTAAATGTCGACTTATCGAAGTCGATAATCTTCACTATTTCAAATCTGTAGAAAATGATCATTTGGATCATTCTTCTATACTTTGGGATCATGAGAGATTACCTTCGATTAATCGACACACGTTTATGACTAAAACGAGATCCCACTCCTTCCAACACTTTTCATTTAAGCAATCATTAATTCTTGACTTTAATTTTTGTTCAATATACAATTGCTTTACTTTTCAGTCGAATATACCCTTGATTTAATTTCCGTTAATATATCACTGTTTTTATGTTTTTGCACATATTCTCTAATTATAGTATTGTTGATATTATCTTGTTTATTATCTTGCTCATCTTATCATCATTTTACATATTCCATCATGTCATATTATTCATATATTGTTCATCTAACCCATCTCTTTATTTATCTCATTCAAAAAAAATACCAAAAACACGACAAAACTATCAAAACCCTAAAAATCCTAAATTAATGCACTGTTGATCATTATCTTGGGCATTGAAGTTTAGACCTTGTACATAAACCCTAGTTTGGTTATTTGGTCCGAGCTCTTTTCCAGTTGCTTAGTTTAAGACACCTCGCACACACACGGCTTTCTCTTGGGCTACCTGACAATGAGACCATTTATTTTTCGCAATCCCTTGTACTCTATATGTATCCCTTTCCCCATTGCAGTATAATAGCTTGGGTTTCTTTTCGTGCTTGCTTGATTACTTGTTAAGAAAGATAAAAATGAATTAGGCTAGAACACGTTTCCAAAATAAAGAACAAATGAGGCTTGATCCAACGTCAAGCCATTTTCAAACTCATTTCAAATTGGACCAGGGTTTCTCCCTCTCATTTCACCTCTCTTCCATCAAACCACACTAACCTTGTGTTGCACCCCAAAATTTGACCAACCTTTTCTTAACTTGGTTTATGTTTCATTTCATTTTCTTCTAGCATTTGCATTGTATAGCATTTTTCATTGAATAGGGGATCAAGAGGTTGTGCATAGCAAGAGGAGGTTACTCAGAGTGTTGAGCCTAAGCAAGGGTTTTTATTCAAGCATGGATGGTCATCAAGTCACCAGGAAGTGGTCAAAGTCTTATGAAAGGATAGATGGATGTATGTGGGTCAGCTCCTAACTTGGAGGCCAGTTGAAGATCATCAGAGTGTTGTGAATTCATGATTATGGATATAAGATTTTTAGAGAGCTCATTGAGTGCTTTTAGAGCCATGTTGGAGCTTATTCAAGTTGTGTGTGATGTGGAAGAAGCCACCGTCAAGGTGTGGCATCTAGAGTTTTCATCTGGTTAATCCTCAGTCAATTGTGAAATCAAAGGAGATTAAGACTCAATTCCAAGTCTCTATGGTAATGGGATGTTGTTTTGAGATGTCTAATATATCATTTCAAGATCAATTAAAGAAGAATCAAGAGTGTGAGAAGTTACTAAATTAGGGTTCTCAGTGTAAAATCCCCTGTTTAGTGCCCAACTTCAAGACCACAGGTCTCAAGATAGAAGTCTCATCTCATCTTGACCCTAACATGAAACTTGTAGAGCATGTTTCTAGCTTTCTTTTGAGTACTAGAAGTCATTCATCTGATTTCTAGAACTCAAGTTATGATGCTGACAAGTTACAGGTCCTTAGATGAATGTGATTTTGGTCAACAAAAGTCAACCAACTTCCAAGCCATTATTGACCTAGAAGGGTGTTTCTCCTCACCTTGACCAAAACATGGAAGTTGTTTCTCATGATCTTAGCTCTCCAAAGAGTACTAGAAGTCCTTCATCTGATTTGTAGAACTCAAGTTATGAGGCTTGCAACTTAGGGGTATTTTGGGAAAGTAAGATTATAGGTCATCTTATTATACGTCCATTTCACCATTTTACACACTTCAAATGAAAATCTTTCCAACATGAAACTTGCTCCAAATGGGGTCATTTGCCCAACCAAACATTAAGGAGTCATAGATTTGGCTTGGATTGGAGAATTGAGGTGTAACTTTTTCATGTAGAAAGTTTAAAATCACAACATGCAATTAATTGGTTTTTAATCATTAAAAGGCATGTTTGTGCATTTTTTGACTCACAAAGATGTACTAAACAAGATGCAAGTTTTGGATATCATTTTGGTGACATTTTCATGAGTTTTCCAAAGGCATTTTCAAGTGGAATTTTGGCAAACCAATATCCACCATGTGATCAATTCAAGGGCCAAATTACATCCACATGATCAAATTAACTTCCCAGCAGTGATTTGGAATGAAAAACAAGGGCAATTGGTATTGTTCACGTGCGCATGAGCATGGAAAAAGTAAGATTGGGCATTTTCACGTTGGGCACAATTCAACCACAATTGGGCCTTAAAACACTCACCAATCAATCATATATAAAGTTCAGATTAATTTTGAGAGCTCATTGAGTCATTTTTGTGGAGAATTGGTGAAAGCACAGTTGGAGCAAGCAAAGGAGATTTGAAAATCATGAAATAGAATTGAGGTGTTTTCAAGGCAATTCAAGCTCAAATTCATCTTCAGCAAGGTTCATTAAGTGATTCTGGAGATTTTCATTAAGCTTCTTCAAGTGTAGAAGGCTCAGTGGAAGCTCTCCACTAGGGAACTTTCAAATCAACATTGCTCTCTGTTTATGATGCATTTGCTAGGCATTTTTGCATGATTTATGTAGATCATTAATAACTAAAATGAATCGGCATTTGGGGTGATTTATGTTTGGTGCTCATTTCTGTTTCTCTTCGATCTGGCTTGGTTGTTGCTTAAAAGTGAAAATTAATTGCATATTTGTATTCTACAATATGCGTAGATGAGTTTGGACTATCATTTTGCTGGATTTGGTTAAGTGAATCTCCACCTGAGTTTTTGAACTCACCGGAGAAGGTGACGGGAGCCACCGTGCTCCGACACTTGGTTTTTTCCCTCCGTTCCATTTTCAAACGAAGAAGATGACTGCGTGTTATCATGGGAACCCTTGGATCTGTGTTATTTTTATTTGTGTGGCTGAGATTAAGACGTATGGTGTACTCATGTTGACCACACACATACAACCATGTTAAAACTCACCGTTTCATTTAATTTGCATGCCTGGTCGCGTGTTGTCTTTTGAGCCCTCGGATTTGATTACCATCTTGATTCAACGTGCCTGATTGTGGCTTACCATGTGCTCACGTTAACCACACACACACAATCTTTGTTTGGTTTCTCAGTTTTTGGTACGTATTTGGATCTAGGCCCAATTTACTGTTGACACCCCCTGCTTGAGCCCAGCTTTATTTTTCAATGTGTTTGGGTTTCTGTTTGCACCCTTCCTTTTATTTTATTTTAGTTTTATTTTCTTTTTGTTTTTTATTTGTTTCTGTTTTGATTTAATTTCATTTAAAATACTTCCAATAGTGTAAAAATTCCACAAAAATATTTTTCAAACATTTTGGGATGTCTATTATTTTTAGAAATTTTTTATTTTATTTTTTAGTTTTATTTTCAATTAAAAATGGAATTAAATATTGGAAGTGTCTTATTTGAATTAAATCTTGACATTGCTTGGTTTTGATTTTGTTTCTTCCATTTCCCTTTGATCCAATGAATGAAAATTCATCCTCATGTCCATGATGAGTTGATGAATTTTTGAGGACCATTTTGCCCCTGTTGGTTGACTTTTGAGTTGACTTTTGATGCATTTCATTTGACCCTCGACAATCCTCATTCACAATGGAACACCCTTGTGAATCAATTTCTTTGGTGGTGTTGTGAATTGATTTTGATTGTAATC